GGAACGTCAGCATGCTTGGACTCAAACTCACCTCTTTGTCTGGCTATCCCATCTTGTTGAGGTCCTGTGAGTCCGGACCCGGGGGCTCGGACCTCCTTGGACTTCTCTCTCGTTCGTCGTCGATGCGGAAAGTGGGCACCTGAGATGGCTGGGCAGGACCTGTTCGCTCCACCTGCGCCAATCTCTTTTTCCGCAAATCGGAAGGGCTTGGAAGGGCAGCTACTTCGGATGGCATAGGTCCATGTGCACCACTGCTGGTATATGCCTGGAACTGCGTTTGCAGTAGGGCAAGCATCCTCGCAGTGTTTGCTTGCTCGTGCTGTGCTCTGACCAGTTGCTCCCTTAGCTCCATACTTGTAGCTGCCTCCACGTCTAGACCCTCCATGCTCGGTAAGGGTTTGTCTCGAAGGGCCGCTTCCGCATCTAGCTCCTCGATCTTGTCCGCTGTCTTCTTGATCTCGGCATCGATGCCCTCTAGGTCCTTCTTGAATTTCTCGTGTTCTTGGTCGTAATGTCTTCTCAATTCTTCTTCGTATGTATCCCAGGCCCGAGCCTTCTCGACCTTGGCTTTCCTTAGTCGTGACATCTTTTCGACCAACTTCTTCCGGATATTCAAGTCCTTCTGCTGGGATCGGAGTTCCTCCTTCTCGTCGTCCTCTGGGCTCGCGCCAACGATCTGCTGCACTGCCTTGAGCAGCCCACTTCCCGCAGACTCTTTGTCTGTAGTGGACTTCATAGCTTCTTTCAAGGCCGACTTCATTCCCTCCACCGAAGGCTGCGAAGACGAAGAGGAGCGCAAGGCATCGTACCCTGGAAAAAGGGACTTGTCCTCGTCTTTCTCTTTCTTCTTTTCGTTCTTCTTCTTTGGAGGTGTGCCCCAAAGATTCCATGACCGGGTCTTGCCTTTCCCGGCCTTGCCGCTGGACTTGCCGCCCCAGTAGCCCTTCCATGACATCTTCTGTGCCAGCGACAAAGATCGTTGTCTTGTCCAGGAGTGATGCCACCTTAGTGCACGGTAGGCCTTCTTGATTCTGTCCGATTCGAAGTCCCAGTTCTCCACTGCAGATCGTAGTTGTATTCTGCTTCTTGCCCGGACCTTCCTCCTCCGTCGATGGGAGTTTGGGGATTTGGGCCACTTCGCCAGCTTGAACGTATACCAATCCCTTGCAGTACGGATACCAGTGCACTATGGCTCCCAAACGGCAAAGCGAGGCACGCGCAGGCCGAGTTGACGAACCCGTGTTGGGTTCTGGGGCTCAAAGCTACACTCGAGCCCTACTACAAACCCATGGAAATTGATATTGTTACGCCAGACTTCCACGGTCGCTCTGTGGTGGAGGATGTTTGATTCATGATTTGATGTCCAGGTATTTCTGGATGTGAAACGGTTGCTTTTCCCTTCAGAGTTAGCTGCTGCCCCTACCGGGTGGCAATATAACGACCCCTGGGCAGCTGGGCCACTATCTCCCTGCAAGGTCATTGTTTGGCTTCGTTACCGCAAATCCCAAAGTCCAGCTGTGTCAGCTGAATATAGCTGAATATTTAGATTCTCAGTCTGGCTTGCGTGTTGACCAGTGCGCATGACCAGACTTCATCTTGACCGTGCCATGAAGGAATCGAATGTAGCAGTGACATGGGTTGAAAAGATGCACTGTGAGTTGTGTAAGAGATAGTGTTAGTTGCAGCTTTGTTAGTCTTTTGTTTGTTTCGAAAAATGACACCCGTCGCAATCTTTTTGACAGACTCAAGTTAGTCATTTTGTGGATCACGACGCTTGACGCTTGTCTTTCTGAAATGGCTGCTCTAGTGCCACGGCTTCCCATCAGAGATGTTGATGTAGATCTGAACGAGTGTGCTTCGAACATGAAGGTGATCTGTCTGCTGCATGGCGTCGACCAGCGCCAGCGCTTGGACCTTCCCCCTTGCCTGAAAATTTTGATGGGAAACAGAGTTGAAAGGAAGAAAGCAAGCAACTCCGTCATGCAAGCTTGGGTGCGTGAAAAGCTGCCGCGTCTGGAAGTCGAAGAGAGGTTCATGCCGGAGTTGGCTGGGGTGCATACTTTGGCGCACACCAAGCGTCATGACGTGCAATCTTACACTCATTCCGAGACCCCAAAATTATCGGACATCGTGGCGGAGGTCTTCACGTGCAACGATGATGTCATTGACAAGGACGATGGTGTCCTGCCTCCAGATGACCTTGGGTCTGTGCCTACCGACCCTTTGATGACGGAAGGCAAGAGCGACCTCATGGTTCCAACGTATGACTTGCCTGCCTCCATATGACCTTGATTCTGTGCCTGCCAACCTTTTTGATGACGGAAGGCAAGAGTAACCCTGTGGTCCCAAAGATGGTGAGACGTATGAGCCGCCTGCCTTGTGCCAACCTAGACGAAGGCACTGTGATGATCGTGAATGCTGCAACTCATGCCACAGTCAGTGGAAAGGCTATGGTGGTCGAGAAAGCCGTCGTCAAGTTTTTCCCAAAGCAGGGGACCCCTTTCTAGTGGCCTCTGCAAATAAATACAAGTTGATGGCAGGCACTGTGACCTTGGACGACGCAGACATGTTGGCACTAGATTGAAGCTTGTAGAACAAGATTTGAATGATGAAAGATGCATCTTTTGCGTGTGCGTCAAAAAAGCGGTTGGTCTGTCAAACATTTACAGTCTATCAACATTATGCCATGAGAAGGCCATGTGTTTTTCTAGCGCGAGCACTAGTGTTCAAACAGTCAAGATGTTTTGCGTGTTGATTCCCGTAGAGCAATGGAATGCCTGTGTGCAAGGGCAAGAGCGAGGGCAAGCAGCTCCAATGCTTCAGCTGCAACCGCCTCCGGTCCAAGACTTTGCTGCCTTTGGCTCTCCGCCTGCTTCAATCCAAGAGCCTCGAAGATTGACATTGAGTTTCTTCATAGCAATGAGTGGAGAGTACTTGGCCAGCTTGAATATTTTGCTACCATGGAAGTTTGATCCCGTTGAGATGATCCAAATGCAAGGCATTTGCCTACAAGGGTTTCAAGTCGCGAACGGTATGACAATGCCGCTCTATCAATTCCTTGCGCCTGATGTGAGAGGCGATGCCGGATCTACCATACCCATGATGGATTTGTGTTTGATGAATCTTGCATTCTCGACGGATTCTACAGACACGGTTGATATCTATCTGGTGGCCACCCTTCCCAAGCTGCGCAATCTGCGTGCTTTGATGAATCCCATCGAGATGACCCCCCTGCTCTTGGCGTGTGGAAGCGTCTGTAAGGTTGGGAGAGTGAATAATAATTCGGGAAAAGATAGACGTCCCCACAGCATAGAAAAACAAAAAAGGAAATATATATATATATATCATTATATATTTGTTTCCAGGAAAATTCTCTTGTGTTTTTCCTCACTTTGACGTGTGGCGTTTTTGTTATTAGTGTGGTATCCGCTCCTCCTTTCTCCTCATCTTCCTCCTCCTCCCGCCTCCCGCACCAACCAACTGCCCTAATTGTCAGCAACCAATTGTCATCAACCAATTGTTGCCCACCACTTGTCATCAACCACTTGTCATCAACCAATTGCTACCCACCACTTGTCATCAACCAATTGCCACCCACCATTTGTCACACAACCAGTTGTCCACAACCAATTGTCGTCAACCAAATGTCACCAACCAATTTCCACCAACCAATTGCCACCAACGAATTTCATCAACCAATTGTCAGCAACCAAATGTCACCAACCAATTTCCACCAACCAATTGTCATCAATCACCAACCAATTGTCATCAACGAATTGTCGCCAACCAATTATGATTTGCTTGCTAATTGTCTTCTCCAGGGGGTGGGAGGCGCTGGCTGGCTGCTGGCTCTCCGCCGCTGTTCCGCTGTGATTTGCGCGCGAGGTGTTCAAAAACACTGTGTTTTACAGGGTTTTGTGGGCGTGGAAGGTCTACAATTTGGACAGTGGCGAAATGCAAAAACCGTGGGTTTTACAAGGGTGGTGTCGGTAATGCGCGCCGCCCGGACGTGCGTCATCGGAAGTTTCTTAGTGATGGGCCAGCGTCAACGCAAATGGCGCAACATGTACCCCAACAGCGGCCCCCAAGATAGGTCCAAGATGGGTTAACATAGCCCCAAGATGGCCTAACATTGGCCCAAGATGGCCCAACATAGGCCCAAGAGCGGCCCAACATAGGCCCCAGAGGGCACAACATAGGGCCAAGATGGGCCAACGTGGGCCCAAGATGGGCCAACAACAACAACAACAACAACTGGTGGGTGGCAATTGGCTGGCGTGACAATTGATTGATGACAATTGGTTGAGGACCATGTTTTTTAGAAAAACATGCCCTCAAAAATAATCATTCCAGAAGGGCAGAGACCTGCCAACCAGCTGTCACCAACCAACTGCCACCAACCAAGTGTCACCAACCAATTGTCACCAACCAATTGTCACCAACTAATTGTCACCAACCAACTGTCATCAACCAATTGTCGTCAACCAATTGTCATCAACCAATTGTCGTCAACCAGTTGTCATCAACCAATTGCCACCCACCAATTGCCACCAACAAACTGCCACCAACCAATTGCCACCAACCAATTGCCACCAATCCATTGCCGCCAGGAAATTGCCACCAACCAATTGCCACCAACCAATTACCACCAACAAACTTCCACCCACAAACTGCCACCAACCAACTGCCACCAACAAACTGCCACCAACCAATTGTCACCCACCAACCACCAATTGTCCGCTCCTGTGTCTGGTGAAGTTGTGAGCATGTGGGGTTATCCGGTCCTATAATTCCTCTCTCAAGATCCTTTCCCTCGCTTACAGCTGCCGTGTCTGACTGGGCCCCTTCTTGGATCTGGGGCCCCCTTACACATCCAAGCCTTTCAAGCATCAACAAATTACAAAGCCTTGTGATTCCACGCTTCTGTCGACACATCCACGTTCCCAAAAGCGAGCTAACAGCGACCGGTCGCACCGGCTGCACTGTCGCGCGTCCAGCAGGAGCGACACGGAGCTCAAAGAACTCCAACGCCATGCCACTTGGCCCCGTGCCAGGTCTGTAGACCAATGGGACTGGACTGGCCATATTGACATACATAGGGGTGGTGGTTTCTGGGGTCAATGCAGGTAAATATGCCAGTCCCGTGGAGTGCTTGGGATATTAATATATATATATATATGGTTTAGTTAGTTTAAGTAGGCGAGGCTGGCTAGGAGATCATTTAAAGGTTCAGATGTGCGGTTCAGACGTTGTTAAATCTTGGCTGGTCTATTTTGGTTTGGATTGGATGTGATTTGTAAGCATGCGATATGCGGTGATATCGGCATATTTGGGCTACAATTTTGGGGAAATCATCGGGAATGGAAGGAACTCAAGAGATCTTTTCAGAAGACTCGGAAGTGAGCGCACCCAATTGACGGACTCCAACGTCACAGAAGTGTCACCAGATGTCATGACGAAGCCGGCCCCGACCCAAAACGAATGAACCTACCCCAGCCACCGGCCACCAGCCATGGTATGCGGTGAACTTATATAACCCCAGCAATCGTCGATTTCTTGGGATGACGGATATTGACACTTCCCAGGGGCCGCGGAGGGTGTTAGCCGAAGTCCTTAGATTTGAGGCGCAGAGAAGGCAGATCAGGGCTATACTGCAACAGCGATTTCCACATGTTTACGTTGACCTAACATCAATTAACTCCATCTTACGTTGGACCTTCAATCTGGCCGAACTTCTTCGATTCCAGGATGAGGTGACGAAACGTCCTTTTAAGGTCCTGATCATTCAGAGTTCACCGAGTCTTCCCGAGATTTCTTGGACCTGCGTGGAGTAGGACCGGCTTGGACCTGCCCCATCCTGCTCCTTTCTGTGTGTTACGGATAATAAGCCGGAAGCTACCGAACTCCATATGACGGACCTCATCCGCCGGATCGTTCTACTTCAGCGGCGCTGAGGTGGAGAATGGATGGTCCTTCCCCAGGGACACCTTGCAATTGCCCGGGGCTGAATTGGCGAGTGTAATCTTGTATAATAGATCGAGAGTAGACGGCACAATCAACAAGTTAGCTGATTTAGCAGTGGACCACCATCTACAAGACACGTAGTTCTGCCAGTCTGCCAGTGCCATCTACTCTTTCCACTGTTTGTATTATTTTGTATTATCTTTCCCGTCCTTTTCCATCCTTTTTCATCTCGCTTCCGTCGGGCGACTCCGAGACTGACCGCGTGAGTCACACGTGACCGCGTTGAGGTCGCCCTTGAGCGTGACGCTCTTCTTGCTGAAGTGCCTCGAGGTGTCCATCCGTTTCCGGACTGGGCATGTGGGTCACCACTGGGGATTTGGCGAGGATCTGGACTTGGCTTGTGGACTTGGCTTGGAAGATCAAGGTGTGTTCTTAATGGCTTATAGCTAATAGACGTGAACCTCTTGGGACTTTCAAGCCGCTGTGGGTTTATACATGTTTGCCACTGTGTTGGGACATACAAATCTGTTTGTTGTTCCATGAGGCCATAGGCTATAGGCCTTCACTTGCTTTTCTTCAATACTGTTCAAACCGTTTTGGTTTCAACTGGGATCATCATGGGCGAATAGGCTCACACACTCAGCTACTCGTCCATAGAATATCAATCAGTGTTTTCTGACAAGCAAAGCTAATGAGACACTAAGCTTGACAGATGGTCTTTGGAGCAGGCAATGCCGTCAGCACAGTTGTCCTTCAAAATATATGGACACGGGAGGTTGCATAGTCTTGGAACCTCTGGCCATACCTGGCTCATCCAGTCGGACTCCCGGATGGGAAGTGAACTTGCTTTTGGTTTGCACCTCTTTAACCAATCTACCTCATGTGTGGACTTGAAGTCTACTGGGACCCAGCAAATACCTTCTTTGGCTTTATTTTAGACGTATGGTTTGCCATTTTGGCAGGATCTATGATGATCTATGCACGTCTTCCTTTGGGAACAATCACGTGATTTCTTTGTGTGTGTGACGACTCCAATGGGTGAAATCGAGCTTTTACCTAGGTGAGCTGTCAACAGCTGGATCTGACTTGTTGGGAAACTCCAGGCCGACCTGATACGTTAAGGATATATAAGATATATAAATATATATATATATAATATCAAGCCTAGGGCCTAGGCATTTAGTACTTTGTTCGGTTTAAGAAACTGCTTTGGACTTGAGCGACCTGCTTGAAAGTTGTAGTTGTCATATATCAGGCACCCATATCAGTCACCTATCCATCCCATGTCCGCCCATGTCCATCACTTTCCACCTCCAACAATGAGGTTTGCAACATCCTTTCGAATGCTTTTGGCTCCTCAGACAGCATGCGCGCGAAACGCCAGGTCTTACCCACGCCATTGCTGCCGGCCATCCTAGTGCAGGCATGAACATCCGGGTTTTCACCCAAAACCACGGTGTGACATGAGAAAGACCTCTGCACTGCACGCAGGACTCCTGTATAGGAATCAATCCCTACCCTCTTCTCTGCGGGTTCCCCTACCGCCGGTCCACACCTGCAGGCCGGACGTCGCGAGGATTCCCGCGGTTCCCGCGCGGGGCGGGTCTCCGCCGCAGGATGCGGCGGGCGATGCCAAGAAGATCTCCTCCACGCTGCGAAGTTTGTGGCGCGCCACAGACGGGGTTTGGTATTCGATGATGAACGATCTGAAATTTGGGTTGCGTACTAAGGGTCAGAAGGGACCTGTGATCCTTTTTGGATTGGAAGGTATGCCTTCCAATACCAAATGACTCATTTTACCGAGTCATTGGAAGTCCTCGGGCAGTCATAGACATTTAGATTGTGTGTGTGGGTGTGTGGGTCAATAGAACTACCAATGTTACCCCTCGGAAAATGTTGGCTGCACAGCACATCCAGATTCTTTTCATGGAGGAAGGATCATTTACTTCATGAGGCTCTCAGAATCCATTTGGACATGTGTTTTGTTTTGTTTTGCGGGTGCCGCTAGGTGTCACTTGGCTCAGCCAAGTTGGCTGTGAGTCAAAAGCTCCCCATGTTGAAGCATGGGAGCTTCACATTCCCTAACCTAAAAAAAGAAACGGATTTGGCCTGGGGACCCTGGGGATGTGAACAAAGCCAAGCTAAAAGAACAAGATTGACCGTTCTAGTGACCGGCTTGCTTCAATCCGTTGGCATGTCCAAATCCTTTTTTCGTTTGACCTGACTGGGTCACTGCCACAGCCAGTGCCACAGCGCACATGACCACACAGACACCAATTCGGTGCAACGTTCCAACATTGACAAGCTTGATCACCAGTGTTATAGTTGTTGACGTGTTCTTTTCCTCCAAGGCCTGAGCTCAGTCGGGTGGTGCTGCTGACAGCTCCTTGGCCGCGAGGAGTGGCTGTGTTCTGCGGCAATCATTTGAGGGTGTAACAGTGTAACTAGTGTAGAAAGTGGAAAACACCGATCACTATTGTGATCTATTGTGCATTATGTATTCCGATGATATATCCTACAATCTATTTAGACATGTGTATCACCACTAGTCAGCACTACGATTTAGAATGTACCAGTATTTCTGGTAGAGCCCTGCTAAGTCTCATCCAGTGAAATTTTCTCGGTGCTGTCTCCTCCAGGCTCCAAGGTCTATGTTTTGAGACCCTGCAAGATTGCGATGGAAGATCGCCTGGATGGAGCTTCTTGCAACTTCTAATGTTTTTTGATTTCATGGTTCATGAGGTATATAGATTTATGTTGGACTCTTGCTCATTGCTTTTGGCTTTTATCTTCGTTGATCGATCGGTCCTGTTCCCTGTTCCCTACTGGCGCCTCGATGGAAAACCCCATCTCGAGCGCGTGCGATGACCGCGGCGATGACCGCGGCGATGACCGCGGGTTTGCGCTGACGGATTGGAGAAACTCAGGTGCTGGCATTCTTCTCCCAATTGGCGCTGCGACATGGAGGCGCCGCTCAAAATACTGTGGGGTCGTTTCAGGGGTCAATGTAGGTAAAGATTCATTTTTATGGAGTGTCTGATGGATTTGCATGTCTAAAAACATGAATTTACACAGAGCGGCGTTCCAAGCATGTTTGTAGGGAAGCTTGAGATACACGTTCCACTCACTCGTGGCTCAAAAATAGGGTGTACCCACTGGTATATGGAAGCGTATTCGGAAGCACCTGCGGGTCCCTGCGCCTAAACAATTGTGGAGCCACATCGCTATATCAAGATTCAAGATCAGGAATCCCTGCAATTCTGCCTAGAATTGCGCTTCCATTGCCATCCATGTGCTCGTCGATCGGCAGAGGCTGGCCCATCGACTTCACGCCTCGTCTGGCGAGTTCTTTGATGCAGGCGGTGTACGCGAGTCCGGCGAAGCTCGGTTGTTTGGAACATCGGAGAACACAAGTAGGTTGCCAGAACATGAATTTTGCAGGCACTCCATGTACGGCATCTACAACAATATACCTAGATTGGGGTGGTTCTGTTTTCAGGTGTGCATGGAGGCATATATGAAAAATTAATATTCTATCAGGGTTCTGGTTCTAGTCTAGTCATTGGGTGTCATTTGGCACAAGTGCGAACCTACCAAGAGCAGCGTTTTGTGGCAAACAAGATTTGGCAAATTCCTTCATGTCAAGGACTCCTGGATTCCATACGTAGACTGCGGAGCGTGTTGCGGACATAACCTACAATGCTTGCAGGGTCATTGACCAACCGTGTTACAGTGCTGTGACGAAGTGACAGACTGGATCATGGTGCGTATAGGGCCTAGGGTCTACGGTCTATGTGTTTGGGGAATGAAGGCACATGTCCCGGGTAGGTGAAGGACTGATTTTCCACCAGCACCTACCCCAAGCACCAAAGCAACAAATACTTGCAGTGGAGGTAGGAGCAGTAGCCCGTCGGCCATTTGGACCATTGGGGGCGGAGCGACGGCGAGTTCCGGTCAGTTCCGGGCCCGTTGGCCGTCACAGGCGGAGCCAGCGCCAGAGCCAGCGGTGCAGTCGGGAAGCTGAAGGGGAGGGGCGGTTGACGCAGGAGGACGTGAAGGGATGAAGGGATGATGAATGAGGGTAGAATCGAGATATTGGAACCAAGTGGAGCAGAATTGATTTGTGTTTTTGTTATCTTTTCTTAGGAAAGGAAGATAAATAAGAAAGGTTTCACCATTCGTTTACTCTTCGAAAAACCATTCGGGTACTGTATGACCATGAGATTCCTACGAATTCAAGTGGTCATGTTTCATTACATCACTCAGTGTATTTGAGTGCCTGTTGCACCTCTAAAGCAGATCCACTCCTAGGCCTAGGGCTCCAACTACCTTCATGTCGGACATGGTTGGAGCCCTAGGGTACCCTTTGCTGCCATGGCTACGGATCTCTTGGAATCCCTGCGTTTGATCCACAAAATCTAGCAAACTGAAGAAGGTAAGTCTATGACAGTCTATGTATGTCACATCTATGTCTATATGTTAGGTTTTATATCTATAGCAGGCGCAGTTGAAGATGTATGTTGCAATCTCCAGTGCAAATATGGGTCGATCAACCCTTTACGCTATACAGTCGCAAGCGCACTATTCTGGATAACTAATTCCATCCATTTCCTAAGTGGCCTTGGCAGTTCTTTCCGCTGATCCAGCAAAGGAGGAGCTCGTGGGGAGGCTGGTGCCATGTGCTTTCACCTAGTTGTTTTATCCCTCTTGGCAAAATCAGCTGTGTGTAGAAAAGCACCGAAACGCTAATGACCTTTGCTCTCCTCGAGGCTGATTCTGGCCCTCTCGGATGAGGTCAAGGCGGGCCGCATGCGATCTATCCATATCTATCCTTCATGGCTAAAAAGCCCTTCAGACCATGGAAATCTGGACGCTAAGTCTAAACCCGTAGAAATAGCCCGGGTCTTTTCCCTTGGTCGTTTTTGAACGTTCTCAGGGTTCTGGGATCTTCGTGACACACGACAGTCGTTGTAGGCTCCAGGGTCGTGGATGTGCTCCGTTTGACCCAGGTTTGCAGGTGATGGGACTCCATCATTCTTTGATATTTTTGGCACCAGAAATGGATGGGACCCCAAAAGAAGAAGAGACCCGACGTCATGCCAAGCTGGCCAAGCAACACTGAACACTGGTGCGAAAACGGAAGACTTGCATGTCAGACTGTATCCAGGAATTGGGTCGTTATGTTAGCTGCTTATACTTCTTCCGTAGACCATACCATCGGCCCACGCGACAATGAAAAACACCGGTCGTTTCTAATGACCTTCTTGCTATAGGTCATGTTCATGAACACTTGTTTTTTAGTGAATCCAGGAAATTCGTTTGATAGAGCTTGCAGTGGATTTGAAGCCGTACCAAGACACACCCCACGCACTTGCATGTGTCACATGGACACTAATTCAGGCAAATCATAGCTTTCCATCAGAACCCTCTTCACAGCTTTCAGCGCGTTCCAAGATACAAAGCGCGGTTCACCTCTTCCACTCGGCCCATGTCAAAATCACTCAACATCATCCCTCAAATCTTGACTGGTGCTTAGTAGGGAATAAGGGAATGAGCCCCCAATATAGAGATTCCATTGCATCCATTCCCTCATTCCCTGCTAAGCACTAGTCAGAATCCGGGGAGAAGCACTCCCTGGTTGGCGTGCCCCGTGCTTTCCGCCTGCGGCGTCGCCTGCGGCGTCGCCTGCGCCAGGCGGAGAAGCGTTTCCCGCCCTTGGAGACCTTCAAGCGCCACGGCACCTGACGCGAAGGCGTCTCCGGACTCGCCGGACTCGCTCCGGACCGCCGGGTTCGAGTCGAAGGGTTTCAGGAGGTACTTGGAAGATCTCTTTTTTCCCCCTGCCAGGTCAAGGTTGTTAGAAGTGATCAGGGTGTTTTGTCGTTTGTTTACTGTTGTTGTTGTTGTTGTTGTTGTTGTTCATTGTCTATCATTGTGACTCTGCCTTAGTTGCAAGTACCCTTCCACATTTTTCAGTTGGGTTTTCAAAATGTTCAAAGAAGGTTCTGGGGTCTTTGGGGTGAAACAAATTTGGGGCACACCGCTTAATTAGAGACTGACAGAAGAGTTGCAAGTTTTAGATGGTGTTGGATCATATGTTCCTTTATGATAGTCTGATTGTCAATGACAAGTTGGTGCAGAAGACATCCAGGTCCAGGTCATCACAGTATTTATCATGGATCATGTGATTGGAGAATAGTGTCCGTTCCACTTCTACTATGCTGTTTAGGCTCAAAGATTGACCAAAACAAGAGAAGCGTGTTCAGTTGAAGTATGGGCAAGAAAGGCAATGTGCCTACTGCGGCTGCCAATAGGCGCTCCAATGCCATGAATCCGAACCATCCAAGCTACAACCCACAAATCAAGATCCAAGAACGTGAAAGGAACTCCAGGTGCAGATCCGGAGCATGAAGAGAAGAGCCTCCCTAAGTCAAAGAGTTCATGAAACACTGGAGTTGGTCATACAAAAACACGACTTGTAAAGAGGCAAAAGACCAGGTCTTTTTTTGGGTCGGACTGGACTTGTAGGGTCTCAGTTAGGTGAACATGTGAACCTCCATCTCAATCTCGTGGGCATTCGAAAATTTGGCCAGGAGCCGCGCATCGACGCTGATGTGGAGATGCCCTGTGTGGGTGGAAAACGCCGCGCGATTTGCCGGGGAGATGGTGGGAGGGAGAAACCTCAAGCCTTTAAGATGCACTCAAACAAAGTGTTCCGACCGTCTACCTACTATCTGTTTTGCTCGTTTTGAGGACTTGCTCCTGCAATGCAAGACGACCATGTTTAAGGAAAGCTCGATGGGCTCCAAATGGGTCGAGTGGTTTGCGGGGTGAAAACGCAGACCGCGGAAAAGAGGACAATGTAGAGAATCTAGACTTGACTTGGTGATAGTTCCTGACCAAGGATATCATTTCGGTGCTTTCAAATTGACATATTTCGACTTGGGGAAACTCCAGACACGCTTCTCGCCACAGACCCGTCTCACCCGGTGCTACCCGTATATTGTTTTGTCTCACGTAAGCACACCGCGGCACCGGCTCAGCCCACAGAGTTCCGCCATTTTTCAGACTTTCGCCCGGTCGATTTTCAGCCCGGAACCTCGACTCTTCGTGGAGACGGACGTGGTTTGGTTTCGGCTGACAGAGGCCGAAACAGACAGCCTCGCGTCGGGTGTCATAGCGCCAAAGGCAGCTTTGGGACCCATCCTCCTTGAAGATCTGTGTTTGCAGTGCGCGAAGGGCCTGAAGTTGCTATTTTCTCTTTGTGGCGGGTGTTCAAAATGGTGTAAGGTTTCTCAATCCAACAGGGCCCACAGGAGTAGGATTGCCCACGCTGCACCCCTGCAGATCTGGCAATCCGGCAATCCACTTAAAGTTCCATGACCTGATTCCTATCCCATAGAGTGCAGGTACCTCCTGAGGATGGTCTTGGAGGTGAAAGTACTTCCAGAGAATGGTCTTGGGGGGTCAAAGGACATCCTCAGGATGGTCAGATGGTCCTCAACCCTTAGGGTATATTGAGGCCATGACTAGATTCGTTTCAGTATCCGTCCATGGATGCATCAACTGACTCATGGGATCATCATAGATCCTTCAAGGGACTGGTCCTCACCCTTTGTTTCGCGAGGGGAGCGTCTCCGAGCCCGAGTCCGGGAGCGCGAGAGGCTTTACCGGCCAGGGCTGGGGTCGCCGACCATCTATGGGGGTGATATCCATCTTCCTATCGGAACATGGAGGCCGAGTTCCCGACTGATGGGAATGGGGATGAACCTCAACCCCCAACCCCCCAAGCGGTCCATCACTAGAACCCTTCCATCGCGGAGGGCCTGTGCGATCTGCCGGTGCCCGTCCGATCGGCCGCTCAGGCATCATGTCTCGCAAGCCCGGCAGCCCGGAATCAAGCTCCGAATCCGATTCAATGAGGTGTGCTCAGGTGCTGAGTTTGTAACACCCATGACATGACTAGTGGATACTAATGGGGCTAGCATATTTGCTGATCAGTTGGAAGATGTTGGAAGTATTCCAGCCTCATGGAGTGCTTGGGAATGTTTGGGATATGGCTTCTTGATGCTCTTTTTTTCTGACGGGTCCCGAATTTGGGGTATATAATATGTATGGCTCAGAAAGTGTGCGTGTTATCAGATTCATCCAAGGTTTGGGAGTCTTGGAGCAGAGGCTACACTTGCCGGATTCAGACTCCGCTCCAAAGTGGAAGGATCACGATGATCGCTCTCCTAATTATTGGGAGCTTCCATGGTCTCCTCGTTCTGGTTGCCGACCGACGTCCACCTCGACGCGTCTCGTGTCGGTCGAAAGGCCCATCGTCGGTGGCAATTGGAAGTGCAATCCCGCGAAGTTGGCCGACGCCAAGGCGCGGCCGCGGTCGAACCGGCACGACCTGCGGGTCGAACCGGCAGCGGCTATCGCGGAGGTTTTTGGGGGTGCTAAGGGTGTCCATCGGTTTGGGGTGGTCCTTGTGATATAACGTGATGGAAAGTCTGGAATGCGAACCATGACTATGTGGAGCAACATCGCTAGAAGAGCCGCGTTTTTGAGCATCAAGATAAGTCCGTTATTATTTTGTGTGTGTGCTTTGTGTAGCATCTATGACTGCATGGTGCATAAAAATTGATTGAGATTGTGCCATTTACATTCAGCCCAGCAGCCTTTGGTTGGAATTTGCTGCATTTCCAGGATCTTGAAGCTTATGCCGTACCGCATACGCGGACGTGATTCTTTTTTGCCGCATACGGAGATGTATGTTCCACGCGTCTACGCTCCAAACAGCCCCAGTTTTCGCTTCAGGCGTTGCTCGCTGCCTGGAAGGAGAAGGCCTTCGACAAGGTACGAACGACGCGTGAATGCTTTGTTGCAAAACAAAAGTCCGGCAGGGTGTGGCAAGGCCTGGATGGAACGCAATACTGGATCCTTTGGTTAAAACATGTACAGTAACATCCAGGAGTCACAAAGGGGTGGTTTTTAGTCCCTAAGTGAGTGGATGTTCTGGGCACCCCTATTCCCCTTTGTGACTCCTGGATTGCATTATGTTAAATTGGTGGCTGTTGTTCTGTGTTTTTTCCATCAAACACAGACGATCACACCATTGGACCATACTTTTGGCTGTTCCCGTCATTTTTCACTCCCTCGTAGAGGAATACAATTTTGAAGGCTTCTCATATCTTCTATGATGACTGTTGTTGTTTTTGTTTCTTATATCCGCACCGAAACATGTGGCTTGTGCGGCCCAGGCAGCCCAGGCTGTCCACAGAATTGGAGGTATGGCCTGGTCTTCCTTTGGACGGCCCGATCTGGCCGTTCTATGATGTTCTATACGAAGCTGCACAAAAAATGCGCCAATGTGCTGTCAAGCTCCACAAACACAGCCTGATAGCATCCGAAACAATGCATCTCAGCTTTGTGACGGAAGCAGATCAGCCATCAAATGGCCTCTGATAGTACAGTATCAATTGGGGCTTAACCTCAATCATTTCTGGGTATCCTGGCACTACCCTGCACTGCTCTCCGGGATCTCCAACGGACACCCTGGGGTCCAGGATGGTCCAGGTACTCCAAACCTCAAGTTCTTGGCCAGTTCACCTCCACCGCACACGCGCACCGCAGCGCTTGCGACCACGACCGTCAGGAGAAGGTGGAGGTGGTCATCGCGCCCACGGCCCTTCACCTCGGCCGGGGGAGACCGGTGGGAAGGACGAAGCAAAAGGTTTGGTGGTGGTTGGCGACCGTCACTTGAAATGTGTTTGTTCTACTTGATGTTCGTCATGTTCAGAAATGTTGATGCTCTACATTGCTGTACAAAAAAAATGCATCGGAGTGATGGGACAAGAGAATTGATTAAGTGTTATTTTTTTGTATTCAGTATTTAGTTCTAAATGCGCACTGTCTAATAGGTTTCAAGTGACTTGAAACCACCAACCAGAAAGGTATTTTTTCAGCACGCGACGAATGGGACGGGCATATTTGCTGATCAGTTATGATCAGTTGGGGTTTCAGGGGTCAATGTAGGACTTTTTGACTTTCTCGCTATTTGGTCAATAGATGTCAATAGGAGTACTGTATAAATCTTCCAGTCTCATGGAGCGTCTGGGAATTCAGTCAAAATGGTCTCCAGACGCTCCATGTTGGTGCAAAGATAGCCTACATGCAAACCACCCAACAACCACCAGCCCCATGGAGCGTTTGAGGTCGGTTTGCCGGGCAGCCCACATGCTTCCAAAAGAACACGGCGGAAATAGAAAAAGAACACCACAGTGTTATAAAGGTGGATGTCCTGTTGCTGGTCGGTTTTTGTTTGGTGTAAACCGAAGCACCGTGTTCGGCCGCGGTCGGTTTTGGACGCCCTGTCAGGAAAAGCCGCGATCGAGCCGCTTTTCGGTTGGCAGGTCACGTCAAGTCTCCCCTGGAGGGCCTGGGCATGCAGGCGGCGCATGGAACCAGTGAACGTGGAGGAACCAGTGAGAGGAACCAAAGCAAAGGTTTTTGCTTTTGCGCACAGAGAGCAGGGGGTCCACGTGAGTTAAAAAGATATATAACACTATATTAAACAAATAGCTTGCATGACTGCATGATATTTAAACTATTGTGCCGGGCTTTGACTTCCAGCACATTAGACCCTTTTCATGACTGGATGCTATTCATACTGAACCACTGGTCGACAGCCCGAGACGTGTAAAGTCTGTGGGGTGGATTCTCTCAAGTTCGTCAATGCTGGCCCCATTTTCAGGGCTACACATGTGTGGGTACACGTTTGGGGGTCGTTTGCTCTTAAACAACATAAGAGTGGAGGAACGCAAGCTCCCTATAGCTTTCAAAGACAATTAGACGTAGGTTGACCCAGTGTTTAGAAACCTCAGTAAATCGATGGTTCTTCGGAAACGCCCATGAAATCAATTGCGCGTCAATCGGACAAGTCTGTATATAGTTTCATGATGTGTCATTATATTGTCCTGCCCATTTGAGTTCTTCATATCCGGACGACCCCCCAGCGCCTTTCCAAATGGGATCGAATCAGAAGTAATAGGAGAGCCCCTAGAAGTCACAAAGACGTTTGGCACCACCGAAGTAAAGGAAATTCCCTTAGGGTTTCGGGTCACCAAAAGCATTTTAAACAGGTCTGAGACTCCCAGGGAGATGTATCTTAGATGGAAATCCAGGCAAGGCTGTGTTGGGCCTCTCTTTGAGTGCGGCATTGGTGTTCGACGCTGGCAGGTTTGCTCCCAGAATGTGGGCAAGAACGATATGGGTGCATTCACTGGTGAGTGGACTGCCAGGGGCCTTAGCTTGTGGAGTCAGTCACTCCATGGGACTAACATATTTACCTATCAACATTGACCCCTTTTCAACTACCTCAACTGATCGGCAAGTATGCCAGTTCCATGGAGGGTTTGGGTTGGCGTGTTTTCCTCGGTTTGAGTTTCCTTGCTTTGAGTTGCCATGTTTGGAAACACGGTCAAGACACAGATAGTTGTTTCCTGAGCCGCTTGCTTCTAGTGCACGAGACGTTGGTGAAAAGTGGGAATTCCTAGTTGTCTCAGAGTGGGGTCAACACCTGTTAGAAGTCTTTCAGAACACCCAAAAGGCACAAAAAGCTCATCGAATTCTCCCTGAACATCCAACCTCTTTCATTCCCCCCAGGTTGAGCCTTTCCCCCTCCCCCCCCGAAGACAGTGAAGCATAGAACCGTCGCGTGGGCATCGCGTGGGCATCGCCGCGAGACGCGCGTCTCAGGCATCGCACCTGCAAGACATGGAGGCGGCAGTCGTGGGTTGGGTCCCGTTGGGTGGTCGTTCCAGGCGGAGAACGCTAAGAGGTAAGACAGCAATTGTTTCTAATAGCTTCTTGTTACTACTAGTAAGGCACTTGTTACTAGAAGCGATGCACTTGTTACTAGTAGATTATTGTTTCTAATACAGGTTGGGTTCAGAATGCAGCGCAGTGGATGCACGCTGTACTATACAGTACACGAGTGGTTAGTCGTTCCAGGCGCCAGAACAGACATGCGTAGCTTGAACACAAGGGCCTCCTGAGTACTCCCAATGAGGATGGTGTTCTTGGCGCTATTGAAGGTGTCCTGAGCATCGCTCCGGGAGGATTGAGAGAAGCAACACCTTCCTCTGCCTCAGCCTATTCGTCGAGCAGGTGTTGAACACAGGGTCGACCCATGAGAAGTGGATAAGCCATGATAAGCCATGTTTGCGTGGGGATTGGGTTTCCCCACTTAACAAAAACAGATGGACAAAAGATGAAACACAGTTGTTTGTTGTTTTTGTTCCATGGAAACTGAGGGATTCTACAGTTCATTCATCCACCACCCCGGCTGTTCATGGCTTGTTTTTTCGCCCCCTCCAGCCCTTCCTTTCCGCGCCAGCCAGGTGGGCTACACCCTCATCGGCCACTCGGAGCGTCGCAGTAAATATGGGGAGACCGACGAGGACCGGTCGCCGGAACTCTGCAGTGGATCTGAGGTGAGTCGGGCGTTGGAACGCGGTGGAACTCTGCTGTTAAACTGGTGCGTTACTAAAGAACTTAGTGCGTTGACCCACGGCCCATTGGGATATGTGAAGATCCTGTAGCCGTGAGGAAAGAACATGAAGATCGTAATCATGGCGTCACTGCTGGTGACACAGCCTCCAAGAAAATTCACCACGATTTCAAGCCGTATATATTTACAGCTTTTTTGTGAAAGCAGGGACAGGCATCAAAGGCGGGCGGATGAGAGACTGCATCCAGCAGGGTTTGCTGATGCGGAGGTGATCGTAGGGCAGGGCGGACTTGAGGTGATGAGGTGATGGCTTCCATTCAGCAGCTCAAGCTGGCTCAAGCTTGAGGTGATCATCGGTGTAGTATGTGGGTTCGATCTTTTTTCACACGACAGCTTGGAGATCTACCCAACCTTTACCCCAACAAGAGCTATAGAAGCAAATAGGACTGCACCTGTTTCACCTATTCAAGATTCAATTTCCAGTATAGTTATTCTTTTCACATGTTCTTTTTTCACTTCAAATCAATCATCCAACCATCCCCAGCCTTAAGACTTAAGACCCAGAAAAGACCTCTCTCCCGCCCTCCCCCCACGCGCGCCGCTCCGCGCGCGGAGCCCCACGCGCCACCGCCATGGGATGACGCTGCGGGCGCTGCGGGTCACGCTGCCGTGGACGTTCCGGCGGCGCTTTGCGGCGCTGCCGTTCCGGCGGCCTTGGTCGCCGCGGCACTTGGATCTCCCAAGGCATCGGTCACACCCGGGAGGGTTGTGAGAGGGGTGTGAGAGGGGTGTGGTGTGGGTGAAAAGGACTTGTGATTTGAATTATATCAACATGGTCACGAAGTCCAAAGAGTATTTTGGGGAACACCCAAGTAAAGGACATGCCCTTTGGGGTCACCGAAAGACTATTTTAAGAATATGGACTCCCCAAAGCTTCTACGTTTGTTGTTGTTGTTGTTGTTTTTTTTGGAGTCATTGGTGTTTGATTGGTGTCTTTGTTCTGGGGTAGGTAGGTTCGAATGTTTTGGTCTATGATGTTGCCATGATTCACTTGACAATTCAGAGTATTCAGGCAACATCATATATATATTATATAATTCATTGCAGGGCAAACAACTACATGTTAAGCAGTCTGCTCCTTCAGGTCCTCGCCAGGAGCTTTGGTCCCAGAACCAGCCAGCTGCTGTCAACAGAATCAGAAAGACTGTCAAGTTGAACATCTTCTTTGAACATCTTCTCAACCTATATCAACTTCTCAAAAACAAAATTAAACTGTTATACAACCCTTCGGTGTTTCATTCCGTATCGTGGTCTTTTTGTCACGTTTGTCACGGGGTGTGACGTTTCTTTTACGTGGCGCTGGATCCAGGCCACTACCCAAAGTCGGTGCCGAAGTGGAGGACGAAACCGGTGCTCCAGTCTTGGTGAATGGTTTGTCCGGTTCCTGGAGCGAATCCCAGTGGTGATCGTAATAGATGTGCCCGTTGTATTTTGTTGGGAACACTAAAACACTTGGAAGAGTAAGCCGCAGGTGCGCTAAGGATGCACTACTAGCCCGGCGGTACCCCTGAAGCAAAGCATTTGATTGCATGTGGTCGCGCTTGGCGCAACAATTGCAAGCCATTTTGCGGTCCTTGTATGGGAATATCCCAGGATGTTTGCGGATTGCTTTCACGGTGGGTGAATCCTGACATACACTTGGATGAATGACATTGCTTGTCCTTTGAACACGATGATATGATATGCATGACATCGTTTTGCCAAGAGTCGTCTTTCCAATTTGCATTGTTTCCATGTTTTGCCATATGGTTTCATGGATTCCAACAAAGGAAGCAGTGCTTCACTCTGACCCAAGATAGACCTCCTTCTTCATCCGTCTTCATCCCAGGACAAGGACGAGGAGGAGCAGGTCGTCCGCATCTCTGAGATCACCCCAAATCAGGCCGCCTCGCCTGTCTCGACGTGGCAGCTCGGGCGTTGGTTGGGGCGACCGACCGGAGACGGCGGTGTTGATGGAACTGCAGTGGACCGGCGACGGAACGGGGACGAAACGGGAACTCTCCTTCATGTATCCCAGCCACAGGAGGTTTCAGCTGAAACATGGCGCGTTGGGCGGGTCGGGTCACTCCAAAGCCGCACTCCATGAAGTGCCAGGAGAGATGTTTCAGTGGGGGACTGAGAAATCGTAATCGGAAGCAACTTGATAGCTTCTTGTTACTAGCAAAAGGAACCTAATAGGAATGGCCTCCACCTTCGTGGTGGCCTCCACCTATAGTAGCTTCAGCTACAGATTCCTAGGATCAGTGGATAGCCTTTAACACTTCCAACAGGTGGACAGTTCGGTGAACCGGCGAATGCGCCATTCGGGCCCTGAAGCCTTCGGGCCACTGGAATCCACTTCAGCGAGGTTCTTCTTTTGAAACCCATGTATATATACCTGGACCCTGAAACGATGTCCTTTTTTTCCGTCTCGCCAGAAAACATGACGCAGAAACATGCAGCAAATTCGCTAGAAAACATGACGCCAAAATGATGCAGAAGTGACAAAAAACATCGCAGAAGTAACAAAAATCGACACCAAAACTGTTTGTTGTGTGGGTTTTTTGAGCTTCGCCTGAAAATTGCCCCCACCAGAAAAAATACATCTTTTGTGGGGTCTAGGATGTCTCGCTGGGGTGCGGGAGGAATCGGGCTCACACCCAGATCTTTGTTCTAGGGCTCCAGTCGTACCTCAGGTGTTTGGATTCTGGCCGTCTTCCCCGAACACGGAGCACGAAGCGGCCAGGTGAGGGAGCTCTTGCCGCCGGTGCTCCGCGGCCCCGGAGTCCAGGCAGATCCGTTGGAGACCGGGTCACACATGGCAGGTAAACCAGGACATGGTTTGAATGCCGATGCCTTGGTCTGAATCCAGGGGAACCAAACCTCAGCGACCACAAACATGGTATGACCATGGTATGACCATGTATAACCTGTGGTTTTGGGGGTTTTGACTCAGAGCCACATGGGAGTGGACGTGGATGCGGCTCCAATCTGTGAACAGCTGAGTCACTCATGGGTGTTGTGTGCCGCTGGACCAGAGAGTGAGAAGACAACTTGGGCAATCAGAAAGCAAGCTGGATATTCTACCTGGATGATCCTGTATGGCATTGTTTTACATTGAAGATCCTAATTATACAATATCCATATGAACACTGGACTTCAGCCACATCTATTTTTTTTTATGTCGCTTGGATGTTGACCGCTTTCGCTGCTTGTCCTTTTGGTATCCGCTTCGCTCCGCACACCGCTGCAGGATCTTTTTGCGGAAGTGAAGCGACCGCACCTGTGGCTGGGCGGAAGAGAACAGCGAGAGGGAGAGAGGGGCTTTGGAAGAGAGGGTGTGTCACTTTGGCTCAATAACAGAAAGCATATTTGTCTCTAGGGACATGATGTTCAACCTTATCTCCTGAAGAGATGAGAGGTGTAGCTGTCTTTCATGTGGGCCGTGAGGCCCGCATTTCCTATCAGCTACCTTCTCAATCAATGTCTCTAGGCTCAGTAGCAAGAACATACTCTAACCAAGCCTTTATTGAGAAAGGCTGCCTTTGACAGAAAAATGAGCTTGGCTTGCGTCACTTAGTCGTTTCATGTTGCAAAATCCTTTAGCTAGTCCTGCTACCAAGTCGTTGGCTTGGTATCGTTTGCCATACCTATGGTTAAGTCGTGGAAACCTTGATTAGACAACAAGAAAATGCATGAAAATACCACATGCTTGCCGTCGAAGAAGATATTCCTTGCAGTTTTGGTGACTTGAGACAGGTCCAACCCTGAAAAAGGCGGCACGTCGAAGGCAACGCATGGCGACACTGCCTGCGAGAAGGAGGTGAAGAGGTTGCACCTAAGTTGCATTTCCGTTTGCTATTATATATTGTTTTGCAACTTGTCTTAATTAATATGTCAAGTTACGAACATTATATTATTTGTTCAAACATTTGCCGTTCTGCCTTTCATGCTTTGCATCCAGCCAGATCGAGTTGCATCAGGGTACACGCTGCAAAAATCACCCAAGAAGCAAATCACTCGCTCTTCGCTCGTCTTGCACACGCAGACGTCCGTCCCGTGGCTCCATACAACGGCGCGGCAGTCCGGATCGGATCGGATGGGATCGGACCTTCGGTCTCAGGTGGTTGCAGCATGATGATCAAGACTTCCTAGGCTTGCAGGACTGCGATGGTGAAAAGGTCAGAGTAAGAGGAGGAACATGTTTGAACCAACTCACGAGACGTGCTGTGAAGCCCCTTCAACACACGGCCCATGTGAACCTCCCACCAGCGCCGTCAGACCCCAACCACGCTCAAACCAATTGCTTCGGCTCAGCAGCGCCCCCCGCTCAGCCGCACTGCTGAGCCCCGCAGGCAGCAGCCGCGGAACTCGCGGAACTCGCGTCGCGCGAAGGATGTGGGGCGCTTTGTGAAGCTCACCCGGGAGGACTTGCTGGAACAGCTCCCTGAAGGCCGGGGGGCCCGAGGATTTGGGGGACGAGCTTGCTTAGCAGCTTGGGGGCCGGAACCAGGCTGGTGCCCTTTTTGGGGGGACAGAAAACCAATGGACCATGGCCTCCGTCTTAGAAGCTATGACTTGGAGCCTGCAAGCCTTGCAATCCCTCAGTAGATGGGCTAAAGACAACAGAATGAGTAACAGATTCTGATCTTTTTTCAAGAGTGCATTCCCCTTTTCGGGGTCGTCGTCCTCTTTGAAGAAACTGATGCATCACGGCTGCATCACATGTATTCAAATCATCGACCACCAGGGCCACACGAAGTCAAAATTCCTTTGAGATCCTTCTCAGCACCAAGTCGAAATGCTTGCAGCTATGCACCGGACGTGAGTGACCCTTGAATCAAACAGGATCTAATCTAGATTCACTTGAGATTTGGTCCTGATTTCTAGCAAATCGGATCAGTCAGATTCAAGATGTCCTGTCGCAGCTATTTCCAGCATGCCATTGGTTCATCCTGTGTTGAACATCGAGTTCCGCTCCGTCCTCACAGGTGGCTGTGGCGAGCTATTTCGTGACCTCACGTTGATCCCCAGTCGCACCCGCCGCTGGACAGAAAGACATCCGCACGAAGTTGGAGGATTTGGATGTTCAACCTTTACTTGGGGATGATTGATTTGCAGTGGCTCATACACACATTGATGAGCCAGCTTTACTTGTGATGACCCCACCTTTACTTGGGAGTTGACACCACCAACCAGAAAATGGGTGGGGCCGAGGTGGAAGATGGGGCGATTTGGATGGAGTGGGGTCAGTCAAAGAGTTGAGCAACGCCATCCTACGGCCTATGATCTGGTACCAATGTCAGAAACTGTTGCTGGAGGGAGCTTTCGATGGGAACAGTCGGGCAAACTCAAACGGCACAGGTCGATTTAATGGTCCATTTCGTCCACAAAAAACTTCAAGACAACAGATTCTACAGATAGCTTTTTGTAAGTTGGTTTTCACTTCAGACTTGTGGAGGGTCCTTTCACCATCCATCGTGTAATGACCCACTGGGAACCATCAGTTCGAACCGTCCAATGAATGGGTCCTAATTGGGTTTGGACAAGTCCACGACATCCAATGAGATCCAAACCAAAAGGATGGTCAGTTGGATGATGAATGGTTAGTCTTTGGCATGGCAGTTGCTTTCATCATGCAGTTAACCCATGTTCATTCCCAATCATTCCCATGAATTCCTTCATCAAAGACCGCGAGAAGTGGTGAAGTCTAATTGGATGTGCTATATGTTCAGAGAATCTACCGGTTGGAAGTCATGAGTTGGTTTCCGAAGTGGAACCAAATGTTGGTTTTTACAAGATGCATGAACATGTTCCATCGATGTCTCAACGTGCTTGTCTTCCTCACTTGCGCCAAGAACATCTCAAAACATCCCTTCAGACCTAATGCATCCTATAAGCAACATTCAGCAAAGGCTCAACTCTTCCAAAAAGGACCTGTGCTACCAATTCCATCCAAGTCCTTTCCACCCAAAAGCATCCAAAACCATCCCAAATGGCCACCAAATTCTGCGGGTCCCACTTCTTCCGCTCCGAAACCACGTCATGGTCGCTGCGTCAGACCGGTGTTCCTCGGCAAGGCGACGTGGGCTTGATGGTGCGGAAGGTCACCGCGGAACTCATTGAACAACTCGCAGAACTGCAGGAGCACACGGATTCTCGAAACCGGAAGTGTATTCCGAAGGCCGGTGCCCTGGCTGTCATTGGCTGCCAGTTGCGCTTGGTTTAAAAAACATGTTGTTTGGGGGTGGTCAACTTGGGAGTTGCAGAGCCTTGGAGAGGGATAGACTTAGAACTTTATTGCATGTCGCACCAGAGTGATTCTGCTGGTCCTAGCTTGAAACTGGAAAAGGGCGCCGGTCGTGAAAGGCTCCTTATGGAGGATTTTTCGCCTTTGGATGACCAGCCGTTTTTCCACTGCTGGGCGATCCACTGGTACCGAAGCTCAGGTACGTGAGACGACATGTTGACTTGCCCGTACCGGGTGTCACGTTCCAGTCGTACTCGTACCGGTCACGTGAGGTTCGGCAGGAACACGGATCCCAAACCCACCCCAAGCACCGAACCTACATGTATAGACACTCCATGTGACTGCCATATATGCCGATCAATTGACCCCCCAAAACACCACCCCAACTGATCAGCAGTCCTATGGCAGTCCCATGGGTTGTGTCTGGGATAGGGACTTGCTTGGAGCCGGCCTGACCGACATGCCGACCGACCGGCGAGGCGCGGCGGTTCCGCCGAGGTTTCCTCTTGGACGGCCACAAGGGCACCGGCAAGAGTCAGGTGCTGGCCGAGTGGGCCGAGTGGGCAAACAGACCTGAGACTGAGACCTCAAGGTTCCAACTCTAGACACTTAGAGGCGCGAGGTATATAGCTGACATCCCCCCGCTGCAACCTATATGTGTTGTTTATATAGATGTTACTAACATGAGTTGTTTGTTACTAATAGGTCTTAGGCCGAGGGATAGATTTGCCTGAAGATCACGGGGTTGATCTCAACCCAACTGACTGGTTTCACCACCCTGTCCACAATGCTATGGTATTTTTTGGTGTTCGGTGTTCCTCTTTGAGACAAGCCTCACGATACCAGCGATCCACGTCAGATTTGTTTCATACCCCAGACTCTCATCCAAGCAAAGGAGCCTTTCCATTGGTTAGTAATAGGGTCACCTTCGGTGACCCTTGTGAAAGTATACGGCATACGGTATACCACCATCCCTCAGATTTCCTCCCAATCTCCACGAAATCCTAGTGCTCAACCGACTCCTTTTCGGGGATACGGTCAACCGCGAGGTCCTCAACCTGCTGGCGATGTGGGCGCGGAAGAATGGCTGGCTGGTGGTCTTGGAGCCCTGCCCCGGACGTGCCTGGATGGCAGCTGTTGATAAGGGCAGTCATCGAGATATACCGAGATCACCGTTGATTTGAGGATGCCAGGTGTTGCAACATGTGTACTTACTTGTGTGACTGTGTTTTTGACTTCTTTTTAAAGTGGAGTTATAAGTTACATGTGGTTCATATATGCTCTAATGGGTGCGGGCCTAGGTTGACTCAAGTGTTCGCTGTTGCCGTCCGCGGTCTGGAGATTTGCTAAGCAAACGGTTTTTGACAATGGTTTGCAAGACCGTCTGTGTGTAAAAACTCATGGGCGACCAGCAAAGTCTTAGAGATGGGCCCTTCGAAACAAGAAGCTAAACATGTACTTGCACTAATTACATCACTCTACTCTACAGGGTCAGTGTTCGAAGCTTTTCAATTTACATTCGTATCGGCTGTCCCTTTGGATCCCTTTGGTGTTTGGTGTGGTCGGGGAATGGTGCATACCGGTTCAACCACCGGTTAAACCATTCGTGAAGAAGGGCATGCATGATGTATTTTTGTGGCTGATTCAGATCATGAACTCCTTTGCTTGAACGATAACGTCCTTTCCGGACCGGATGATACGCCCCTCATTTCACAGCCTTGGTGAAGATGAGAGTCTGTCTCAATGTCCATGATGCACGTGCGGGATCCAGAGGTTTGTCAGTGCCCCAAATCACTCGCACCTCTTGCATTGCGCCAACGCGCGTGGGCATTCGCTGGCGTGTAGCGAAGGACCTTTTCACCACACTGGCGAACGTCACTTCTTCGCCTCACTGGCCAACGTGACCTGTCTCAGGATACAGTCGTGAGATCGCAGAGATCAAGCGCTCCAACAACGGCGTGTACATCCAAAGCGAGTTTGCGCAGCAGTTTCTGGAAGCCATGCGACCTGGAAGCACCAAGACATGGTGGTAATGCAGACATATAACTCCCTCATTTGAATTGGACATCCTCTTCATATGTATGAATATATTATATGGGAGTTTCAAGATCAAGTCTACATTAGACGGTACTTTCTCTTGCTTCATCTAGCTTCATTTGCTACCGGTTTTCTGTTCCCACGTGTGAATCCCGGGCTTGTAAGCAAGAGCCACCACACAGACCACCTGGAGCTCTTGATCAACACAGCCTCTCACTCATAGATGGCTGTGGGTCATGGCACCGGGACCTTTCACTCACCAGGGTAGGTTAACCATGTCAGGTAGTTTGGTAGTCTATTCTGTTCATTCTTGGTGTGAAGAACCAGGGTGTTGAACCAGTAGCCATGGCAGATCTTGTAGACCTCCCTTTTATAGTCAAAAGATGTGAACACGGGCGCCGTTGTTTCATGTGAGCTGAACAAAAGCCTCGCGGCGTGGGGTCAACTGGCACGTTGGAGCTACCAAACAGACCCCATGACTCCTGGACCGACCTTGGACCCTCCAGTTCGTACTCTAGGAAATGGGACATGGCCCGAACCAAAAACAGATACTACTAGTAGCTTGTATACTAGCTTGCATAGACCCATGTTCCTTCTCCACGAGCTGAGGCGCCATCTATGCATATCATCTGCCATATTTGCATACGTTCTGAGTGGTTTCAGGGGGTCCACGTACCGGTCACGTACCAGTCCCAGTCTTTGGGGACCGGATCTGGCGTGGGCCAGGTCCCTGGCCAACCGCTTGATGCTGGAGGAGATGGGGAGACGTTCGAGATCCGGTCCTTGGTCAACCGCAAGCTGTTGAAGCCTATTTGTTTTGGAGGTGTCACGTGCATGCAGCAATGCATATACCACTGTGGGACTCAAATGGATGCTAAGTACTAAGGATTGGATTTTTGGACAGTCTGGTGTAGGCTGTTGATATATGACTATCCCCGCAGACATGGATTGTAAAGCCTCTTCAATCTTCATATTGCGGCTGTGTCATCAAGAGCGATGGGTCATGGCACCCGGAACACCAACATCCCGACGGTCGGTGAACACTTCGGTCAACTCTTCGGTCTACTGAACTCGGTCTCCTGGTGCCAGTTCCCCACAGAATACCATGTTGATCCCCCCGAATCCTTGCAACAACACATCCTTTTCCCGGCCTTGGGCTCACAAAAAGACCTTCTATAAGAAGCTGTTTGGATGGGTATTAGAGTCTTAGAGTCGTTTGAGGGTCCAAACTGAGGAGGTACGGCTGGAGCCCAATTAGTAGGAGCAAGGACGCTACTAGGGGCTCCTGGCCTTACTACTAGGAACAAGAAGCTACTAGTAGCTCCTGGCATCGCTACTGGGAACAAGAACGCTACTAGGGTGGAGGCGTTCTATTTTTTTCCCCCTTGAGGGGGCCGAAGACGAGGGCCCCAGAAAAACCCTTCGAGCGACGGGAGAAATACAGAAGGATCGACCGATCGACCGTTCACGGGTCTTTCCGTTGAAGCATTCAAAAACATCGCTGGAGCAGTCAGTCTGAGTTGTTTGCTCTCAAATCATGAGCAAAAGAGTTGGTTGGTTGTTTATGGTAGTAAACCATGTATACTAAATAAATCGTTCGAGGAATTTCTCCAGACGCCCCAGACGCACCTGCCGCTGGCCATGCCGCTGGCCGCCCCAGGAGATCCCCCTGGACCGGAGAAGCTACGGCTCTCGGAGCATCGACGGAGAAGACCTGAAGGCGCCAAGGAACTCGGCGAGACCTCCTGACCCGAGCTGAAAAGGGGTGTACACCAGGACCCACGCGCTCGGGATGGTAGACATGGACGTGGCGTGGCAGGTCGTCACTCCGGCGCGGGGGATCGCCATCCGCACCGGTCGCCAGGTCACGCGTCGGCTCTATGAGCCTTTGATTCAGAAGACCGTGGACACCGAGGTGGAGGCCGCGAGACCGCCCGACCTCCGTAAAGCTACGACCGGGGAGAATCCGAGAAGGTCGCCCTACGACGGGACCAATGAACGTTTGTTTTCATAGTGTTTGGAAGGAGAAAGAAGCGGGGAAAGAATCGTGAGGCCCAGTTTGGCTGCTGAATTCATGGATACGGCGAAGCGAAGGAGTGCAGAAACGTCATAGTTTTCCATACCCCAATGGTGATGAACTCGCTGGTCAAACTTGCTGTAGCAGACCTTTGGATTGATGTCATTGCATGTAGTGTTTTCGCCAAGCTCGCTTTGAGCTTCATTGTCATTTCTTCTCAATGGTTTCAGCTTGGCAGCCCGCAATAATGCAAGAGAGGCACAAGAGGTCGGTGACCAATCAACATCCCTCTTGTAGCCATCAGCTGTGAAAGATGTGAAAGACATCCAGTTGCCTTTATTAGATCATTTCTCTGACAACCAAGCTACTGGTAGACTGTCCGTGGCACAGTCCACAAGGACATGACCCCCTACAGACATGTTCCGTGGTTGGGGCAGACCGAAATCCTTTGAATCTGCATCTGAATGGATTGGGGGGAGGTCATTTGCTGCATACATTTTGAGGTTGTGCATGGTTCAACCATTGGTTCAAAAATGCTGTCATAGTCTCTTACTCCCTGATCTCTTTAGGAAAAATGGGTAACAGCATGTAACAGCTTGCACCTTCCACCCAAGAAAGACCGAACACAAAACGGACACACTCCTGGTTCATCCTGGTTCATCTTGGGTTCCAAAGCAACCTCCAAATTAGAAACTCGCAACCTCATGTGGAAATATGATGAAATATGCCCACTGCCCACCAAAGCAGCCTCACAAACATGAGCAACACTCCAATCACTCCCGGTCACCGTGCACCGCCACGACCCCGCAGCGTCCCAGGCCGAAGGCCTCGGTGGCGTGGAGGAGCTGAAGCGCATCGCCTCCTATCGACGCCAGGCGCGCGAAACGATCAAGGTCCGGCGAGGCGATCGTGAGCGGTTTGGTTCTTTGTTTTGTTGAAAAGAGATCAAAAGGATTCAAAAGGCACATCAAGGATAGTGAATGTGTGGCTTTGTAAAAAATGTACACAGCTCACTTTATCTTATGATGTTGGGAGATTTGTAGGCATGTTTAATACCATCTTGCACCTGCCAATTGACATTGACCTTTAGGTCAGCTCATGATTGAGGTCACTTTGAGACAGTTCTTGTTGAAGCAGCCAACTGATTTCCACATACTGTAAATAACTGGACGACGTTAAGGCCACAGATACTTTCACGTTCGCCAGTCGCTGCCCACCTGACGTTCATCCAGCCGTGCGAATGGCAGGTGCGGATCCCTTCGATGGTGGACGTGATGCCGGATCCGCAGAATGTGCCTAGGACATGACGTGAAAGGATTCCACGTGTGTTGAGCATGCTTGGACATTCTTCTGCTTGGACTTTCTTTTCTTCTTTTGGAATCCCTGATTGGGGAATTCTTCAGTTCATTGTGAAAGTTCTGGTAGTTGTGTTTGTGCAGAATCTGAGCAAGCTTAACATAAGATTAACCGGCAAACATCGGTGAACCATTGTAAAGCAAGTGATTGGCATGATTGACAGTGTCGAACCTAAGCTATTGGCATGTGCAAGTATGTCCAAGTCATAGCAGATGTTTGAACAGTTTTTCCCCATCCCCGGGTTCAGATGCTTCGACGTCGGAACACCGACTGGCGTCCCTTTCAGGTGTTGGGAGTCGTGAGGGATCATGAAATACCCGTTGATTCAAAGCGGGAGAAAAAAAAGACATGGGTGAGAACAAACATCAACAACATCGGGTGTTTGTGATCCCTTTTTTTATCATGAATGTTTAGGGATGTTTGATCATGAACAAACCCATTCTCAATCATCCTATGAGTGGAATCTATTTAGTCACATTGCGAGACCTTCCTTCAGGATCACATTCACCCACTCATGGCCAAATCACCCACTCATGGCCTCCACCCCTGACTCATTCCACCAGCTTGAGGTTCCGACCCTTCCGGTCGGCCCTTCCTCATCAGTCCGGGACGGTCTCGGGCCGAAGACGGAGGTTTGGGAGATTGTGGAGTTCGGCCTGGAAAACCCGGATGCTTTGGCTGAGAGATGGTCGACTTGTGATCCCATCCACATCCGTTTCAATCATATTGTTATATAATATATGATTATTAAGATATTATAATATATTATATGAGATCAGATTATCACACTCCCATCATATCGTGCACTGAAGCCGTTCTTTATTCATTGAGCTGAGGAGTATGCTGTCCAGGCAGTTGCTGAGACCTTTGTACAACTGCAACGACAGAGGACTCATCCTGTGCCTGGGATTTCTCGAGTTGAGACGTTTTCCCCTCGAGGGGGACTGCAAAAGCCCAAAAAGCCGAGGGGTGGGGATTTAGGGACTTTGGATCAATGATGCCCAAGGTGGGTGGGTCTCAACCTCCACAGTCCCCTAGTAGAAGCGAACCAAATAAAAACGCTATAGGCTATAGGCCTATGGCTTCCAACACTTTGGGTTCCAGACCCCATTTTGCAAGCTTCTGGCACATCCAGCAGTTCCCTCTTTGGGGGGCCACTTCGCTAAAAGCCTTTCAACTTCTACCCTACATTGACCCCTGAAATCAATCAATCACCCCTGGCCCGATCGGTACATGGTCGGTCTTCCCATGCAGCACTCCGGGTCATGGAAGCTCGGACGATCCGGACGCGCCGTGGGACGTGAACGGCTCAGGTCTTGGTGGTGGTCGATGCCTGGAACGAGTGTTTCCCAGTGTCAGATGCTTGGGTGATGTGATGGATTGTAAAAACTTTTCTGGCCGGTGTTTCTTCTTAGTCCCTAGGGATCCAAGTACCTTGTCAGAAGGTGATTGGAGACTATTTATGTAGGCTTGGAGGGCCCAAGTACCTTGTGGATCCCTAGGGAATGTACATGTATAGTCTTCTCAATTAAGATCAGAGTTTGTTTGTTTGTTTGTTTGTTTCACGCATCGTGTGTTGTTTGGGGTATCGATATGCTTTGACGATTCGCTTTTAGTAGGCCCTTCTTGAAAGATCCTTGATTAATTGATAAGTACTGCGCTGGAAACGCATCTTCCGAATATGCACTCGCTTGATAATGGCCGCGAACTCAACCCATTGTACTGACTGACATTACTCAAGTGACCAGCTCGCAAGAGGGCCACTTTATCAACCGCGATGTAGCAATTTGAGGCTCACAGGTTAGAGAGCTAGCGATCACTCCCACCATATCCCACCCTTTTGTGTTGCTTTCGCTGTTTTTCTGTTTTCTCAGACCCTCCCCAACCCAATTGCTGAAACCACACGAAAGCACTGAGACCACCTCTCCTTGGGGGTAGTGTTCGTGCGGCTAAGGAATATGTCTCAATCCGCCATTCGGCTGCCTTTGGTTGGGAGGTGTTTTGGGCCACTTGAGTGGCTGGGGTCTTTGGAACTCCCCAACCCCATGGCCATGAACGGTCAGAGACCTTGGCGAAACGTTGAAACGGCTGCGTCACTGGGCCAAATGCTTTCTGGGGGTGATTGATTTGTTTAGAGAATATCTATCTACGAACATTGAACATCGGGCACATTTCTGTCACACAAGTGGATTTCTTTCACAAGGAGAGAACATGTCGTCAACACCCCGTGTTTGTCGTTTCGCCCACTCCAAGCGGATGTGAAAAGGAATCGGGTACACATGGTAAAACAACATGCGTATAAATGCGTTGAACATGCATGAAAACAGCAAAGCTTTGGTCCTGCAAGAGGGGAAGCAAGAGGTTCATCCTCCTGAACCGTCTATTTTCTAGGTGGGAAGCTGGAAGCTGTTTCAGCCTGGTGGATGTTCGACTTTCTCCGTTCTCCAATCGGAAGACCCTTTCCGCCAAGAGAAGAAGCTCCCCAATTCAGGCAAGAAGAAGAAGAACCGCGCGTTCCCGGTTTGATCCCTCCAAAAGGTTCCCTGCCATGACCCATGATGAATAACATATATTATAACCACACCCACCAGGCTATGACAACACGCGCTTCAACGGCTACATCCCCGCGTATCATCTTTCCATGCCTCGGGCGCTCCACCGCTGGGACGGGCACCGCTTCCAACGGGGCCTGACGCTCGGGACACATGTGGTGAGGACGCGGTCGGACGGTGAAGACCCCAAACGGTCGGACGGTGAAGGCAATTCATGAGAAAACCCAGAAGTTCCGAACGCTTTATAGAATTCGCCCTGTTTTTGGGTCTATAAGGACTTGTCCTTTTTTAACTTTCTGACCAAGAACATGACTTTCGTCAACTTTTTTGGACGGGACCGGAGCAAGTGCCCCTCACTAAGATGGAAGTGGAAGCAGCCTTTGTGAAGACCACTTTCCTTTACACACAGCCTTTTACAAACAGGGGGTTTGGAGGCCACTAGTGCCCAAACACTCCATGTATGGCATATATTTACCTACATTGACTCCCCAAAACCACCCCTATGTATGCAAACATAGCAGTCCCATGACCATGGAGTGTCTGGGGTGGATTGATTGATTTTGGTGGCTTTCATATGTCCCCGCTTTCAGGCCACAGGGCACAAAACCTCCTTTCGTAGATGACTTCAGTTCAACGGTTGGTGTTTGGACCCATGGGTTTGCGATGGCTCCTGAATAGCGTTTTCAGTGGTCATTGTCTCACCATTGGCAAGAAGTTGTCAGATTTATGCATCGCCCCTAGCTTGATACGAATCCATGTCCCCCTAGCTTGATTTGAAAAGCGGCTCCTATTTCGACGATTTTTCATGGAACTTCCCCAAAGAAACCTCCATCTCTACACATTCCCATCCCCAATTCACCGCAAAGCAAGACCTCCTGAAGCAAAGCAATGCACCCCTTTCCCTCCTGACAGGGTTCCTGCTGAAAAAAACTAACTCCTGGCAATGGCCGAGCCACTGGCAGACTCGCATCGCGTCAGACCTCGTCCCGAGGAAGCTTTGTGCCACCAGTTGGCAGCGCAGCAACCGACGGGACTATCGACCGGAACTCCTCGGCGTCCAGGTGAGGTGAAAGCGGTGTTTTTTACGAAATGGTCCAAGGGTCCAAAATGATCCAGGGATCCAAGACCAGGTAGGTGGATGGTGGGTTTTGAACAACTTCCGATTCAAAGTACCGGAGTCGGAAACTGTGGTGTTCCCATCAGGGTTTGGAAGAATCTCCTGTTGTGTTTCTTTTGGTCCCTAAAAAATATGGTGATCCTGATTCAAGAAAGAGCTTGGGATTGCCGTCAAAGTTTGAGACGTGAGGCTCACCAGATTCGTACGGTGAGAAACTTTACACAGCGACTTGGCAAGGAAAAGGCATTGGATGGAATTGGATGAAACGGTTTTAGCGTCAGATAAAAGTCCTTGGAATCTCAGTCTGTGTTGGACGGGCCTTCATAAGCTCTCCAAACCTCTCTCGATGATTTTGCGTTTCCGAAGAAATCAATGTTTGGTACAATGTCATAATAAGTAATTTGTTCCTGGTGGAATCAAATTAGTGGTACTGTGTAGTACTGCTAGTGATAGTGATAGTGATCGTGTCACACACGGGTATCCTTACTGGAAGAAGAAACATAGACCCAAACACATTGATTGATCTCATTGGAGATCTCCCTATTAAAAAACACTGCCATATGATGAGAGGAACCCTTCACAAACCCTTTTGTTAAGCGTTTTCGGTCGCATATCTCCAACCTCCAGTCTTCACCGTCTATACATATTTAGTGTGTCAATGATTTTACTCATTTTAGCATACAATGATCACTGCCGCCCGGAAAGATATCGACCCACCATTGCCTAGTTTTGCTTAGGTTCTGGGAAATAGTTTGTTTCTATAGTTTCTATCTTTTGCTTAAGCAAATCCAAGATTGGGTGTTGCACCGACAATTGCAGTGTTTTGTCATCAGATCTCTCTTAATGTCCACGGCTGGGCCCGCGCACAAGCAGCGAGAGTGAGCGCCCGTTCACAGCTAGCACTCCGAGTTCATCTCAAGGCAAGAGTTCGCCAACTACGTCATGTACTTGCGCCTGATGAAGGTCCTTCATAATTTTCCGGCAGAGGACTTGGAGTATTTCTACATGTTGACCCAAGGTTTCTTGGACTCAAAAGTAGGTGCTTGACCGTCGGTTTTTTTGTATACTCGGAATCGCATCAAAGCAGACGTGTTCGTCGTTGGTTGCTTTCCCTGCCCAAAAGAGAGGACATACTATCCATGCCATCCATCGCAGTAGGATGCAGTAAGGCATGCCAGATGGAGAAACAAAAAACATCAAACAACTACAATAGTTCTACTGATGCAACAAAGAGTTAATCGTGCAGCAGCACTGTGCTTGCTGGAAGCACAGATACTTCCAGTCAGACCACCCAATGAGTTTTTTCCTTTCATTCATTGCTGCCAGCTGATTTCAGGAATGGATTCTTGATCGTTTGAACAGCTTTCTTTTCCAAACGACCATCGGCCCACCGGGCCATGGGGGGTGTCTAACAGCAATAGAGGTGACCTCCAAACCACCAAGCGGACCGGGTCTACACCCGCAGTACCCACGACCGCCAACCGCTCCGCGAGTTCACGAGTCGAGAGACTCTGTGAGCGAAGACGCTGTCAGGCAATGGCTTCCAAGCCCGAAAGGTTCTCTCAACGCTCTACTGAGTGGTCGCCAGCGCGAATGAGTGAGCCAGCACCAGCCGCGAAAACAAAAACAACGGGGTGGATTGAGTGGGCCTGTCTGCTGAATGAGTGCGTGGAGGTCAGGAGAAGGTGGTGTCGTTTGCTGCCCAGAGATGGTCTCTTAAGAATGAATGTGTCACCCCTCAAACTGGGGTAATTTCACGCATTTAGGTTCACGATGGTTTACGGCTGGGGTCTCCCTGCTTTCAAAGATTCAGGACAGTGATGCTTCCAGCGGTCTCCCTGCGCGCAGGGGTGCTACCCATGGAGGAACATCCACTCTCTCAGGGTTTCAACACCACCCAATTGGCTACTGGGTACTTCAGATCCCTGACACCCATGGGATTGGCATATATACCGATCACTTGGGGTAGTTGAAAAGGGGTCTGTTGGTCTGTCTGGGACGGCAGAGATGCCAGTCCCAGGCAGGTCGTGTTTGGGGATGAGATGCTCTCGACTTCCCCAGAGAAATCGTTACTGGTGCCACGTACTCAAGGGACACGTACACAGGTGACGAGGCTGGATTGCAGGAGACGGCCGGTTTTGCTGAACCTGCAGCCTGTTTGGTTGGCCGCTTTGGAGACCTCATTCCTTTTCCGAAGCAATGCATGGCAACGACACGACTGTTTTTCCTGTCGGTGTGTTCCAATACTTGTTCCAATGGTTTTTTTTTCAGACATGTCAGGATGTTTTCAGCCTTTCAGATCGATTTGATGCAGAAAATCCTTCTGAAACCCAATTGCAGCGTCCCGCGCAAAACCAGCCAAGACTCCTTCAACACTTCTTGCGCTCGTCTGCGGTTCTTCAATTTCCGGGTCTGGGTCACCAGCGACAGGACACGGCACTGAAAGTGGAGAAGTGCCAGGAGGCTGGACTGAAGGCACGTCCCGTCTTCCGACGTCATGACACGACACGGCATGGCACCACACGGTCTGCACGCGGTCTGCGCGCGGTCTGCGCGGCATGGATGTTGGACGAGTGTGGCAGGAACCCACGGGGGGGCATGGCTGCGAAGTTATATATTTAGGCTCTCTTTTGTGGCGGATATTAACACCTAAAATTAAATCCGGTTCCCTTCTGCAAGAGATTTCACTCGGCCCTTGTCCTCAGATTTCATCAGCCCTCAGTCATCTCCAAGACAAAGATGGAACCTATGCCAACAATGATCAACAATGGGAGGTTGGTAGTTACTTATATGTAAAAAAACAACAACATTTTGACCGTATTCTGTGCATGTCCATTTTGCAAGAAACATGCTCAATCCAGGAATCCACGGTAACACTGTAAAACGATAGGGATAAATAAAGACAACGTCAAAATATATATGTACTGCAGCAGTCACAAGACGGGGTGGTGTTTAGTCCCTAAGTGAGTGGATAATGGGCACCCCTAACCTCCATTAAGCACCCCTTTGTGACTGCTGGTAGAGGTTTTTTTGGACAGCCTCCTTTGGTGTAGCAGTGAAACACTGGCTGGTTTTGGGCCAGGCAGGTGTGGAGGGTTCCTCCTTTCTACCCTCATGGCCATCGTTTGAGTCCCAATGACCGGCCCGTTCCATTGGTTCCTTCGTCTCGTCCTTCTCAGGAGCAAAATCCACCAAAGCTTCAAACCAGTTCCAAAGGAATGGTTTGCCTCGTCCCATCCCAGGGGCTGTGGATGGGCACGTCAGCATCTCGACATGTGTTCTCCGTTACGTTCAAAAAACGGCACCCCGACATGGAACCCCGAAATCACATCCGAAGGTGATCTTCTGCATCGGTGAGTTGCTGGAGGAGCGCGAGGGCGGGAAGACGGATGAGGCCGGCAGGACGAGCGAGTGACCTGTTCGGACAGCCAACACGGCACATGGCTCTTTCTACAATCTGGTCGACCTACAAACCGCCAATGGGATGATTTGCAATCGACCTTCCTCCCCAACAACACCTGGAAAAGGGTCACCCAGAAAAGGGACACGTCATGAATTCTTGGAGATCTGAAGCTACATGGCTGCTTTCAAGTGCGAGAATCTCGGAGATTCTCCTTGCCACCCCATGTGATTAACCCAGAACTTCCATTCTGATCTAATTAGAAATCCCATTTGGAAAGCAGTTCTTCCACTACCAGGCTGGGGTACAATGAATTACTGGACTCTCGTTGATCCCTTCACCTTGTGATTCCACTTCATGCGGCCTTTAGTGTCGCTGTGAGGTCCAGACGATTCAGGCTTTTTTCGGAAAACCACCCCGCAATCGGCCTTTTTCCCAGGAAAACAAAGACATCTTCATCAGAAAAGACATGAAAAGACGAGGAGTTCTTTGGGCCCCCCCTGTGATTCTTTCAGTCCATCTCGTAAGCACTTGTATGCCGGGTGTCATGCCAGCATGCAGCCGGTACGATCAACATCTGCTCAGGTGAACAAGCGACAGCTGGCTGCGATCATCCCCAAAGTGAAGAACTGGGACCAAACGATCGGATCACGCGATCGGCGGGCCTCGGTCGACCGGGGCGGTCGGGTCAATTGGGTGTCGCCCTGGCAGAGGCCAACTAGCTCTTAAGTGGACCTGAATGAGGACATTTGCTTATATACTTACATGGGAGAAATCATGGAAGCACCATGTGTTAGTTGTTCTTCTCTCGCTTGTATAATGCTGTGTTTCTTGATATTTCTGCCGCCAATGAAGTCCAGACCTGCAAAACCCCACAGGTAGGCCTTTAGGGTTTAGGCTTCACTCAGGAGAGGTTCTTTCCAGCTTGGAGGCTGCGAACCTTTGTAATGAATCCAGATTTCTTCACCAACTGAACCCGGACATCAAGCCACAAAGAACACCCTCACGACTGGGATGGTCAAAGATAGCAGTTGTTTCCTCAGTTCCGGCTTAAGGGTCCCATCATCCATGAATGGGAACCCGCCTGTGCCGCCCTCACAGGCACTTTCTATATCCCAGACACTCCATGATATGTATCATCATTATACTTATATAGTTGAATGATGTTGAATGCCCCCAAAGCGAGAACTGAGCGCAGAACTTGCACGTTTCCATCTTCGACGCCATTTTTCGTCGGGTCAGGACCTCATGGTCATCGCCTACGAACCCGTCTGGGCTGGGAAAACCTAGTCGCCTTAGGCTTTCTTTTGCAGACGTCTGGGATGCAGAGTTGGTGCCAGTTAAAGCCTATATAAAAACGTATATACATGGAAGGCACGAAGCTGGGTGTTTTGGTGGATTGAGAGTAGGTGCACAGCACAATTGCCCAAGTTTGGTGGTGCAATGAGTGGACCTCCATTTTTTCAGAACTTCTTGGGCTGGACACGTGCCATTTCTCGCCTCTGAAAGCACCGTAGTTGGTCTAGTCGGACTCAGTATGCAGATTCTGCGGTGATGTCTCTTGTTGATTTCAGATTTCAAAAGGCCCTGGATGACCTCACCCAGCAGGTTTTGGGATGCTTCATTCAAGAAGGTGTCCCCAAACTCATTTCGGCCGGTTCCAATCATTGCACATCTAACAACCACATGCAAGGCGGGCTTAATGGAGGGTGCCCAGAACATCCACTCACTTAGGGACTCAAAACCACCCCTTTGTGACTCCTGGGTGTTTTATATATCTTATTGTTCTTTTGCAGAAACCATTGGGTGAATCCCAGAGACTGAAAAGTCATGTTCGATTCAAAACAAAAAAGCCTTCGCAAAACCGAAAAGCACCGGTGTTTTCTGTGTATAGGCTTCGCTTTGGAATCCAATTCTCATCAATTCTCAGTGCCTTCGCAAAACCTTCGCAACACCCACAGACTCTGTCGACTGCCGTCGTCACGTCGCGTCGTGGCGCTTTGCGTCTCTCTGCGGCCACCACGACCGACAGCCGGAGTCCAGGCCATTGGCACCGGCAAGGTGGCGACGCCGGACCAGGCCGAAGAGACACAGGCGGAAGAGACGCGTAACTCGTGCGGGGATCAGGGAGGATCCGGAGGGTGGTGGAGGTGAAGGTGGAATTGGTTCAAAATTGGATTTGAATTTGGGGTACAGTACATCAGGTTCCATGATTATATACAAAATGATTAATTTATAAATGTATCATACCAGAGATTGTGGGGTGGGTTTCAGGTCCCACCACAGATATTTCCAGTCCAGATCCATTTCTGATCGTTAACGTCCATCCAAGGTTGTCTACTAGATCATCCATAGTCTTAAACTATATATATATATAGGTCTACACTCCAGGTGCGACTGTGGCCCTGACACGACCAGCATGATGCTCGATCTCCAATAACCAAAAGAGGTTGAAGAACCCGACTGTTCGACTATCCCAGTTGGGTACCCCAACCTCGGTTCCTATAAGATCTAATCTAGACCACTGAAACTAACCTCTCTTGAAGAACTGCGCGCCCCAGCCACGGGTTCCGTGCCCGTGCCAACGGTTCCGTCAGGCCGCGATCCGCGCCTATTTGAAGGAGGCTGTCAGCGCCGAGGTGGCCGACAAGGCGGGGTGATCGGCCATGCCCACCGACGGACGTTTGCCCGGTTGAAACGGTGACCACGACGACGTGTGACGAATGCACCCGATCCAAGAAAAAGCAGGTCCTCCGAAATGGAGGGTTGTTTGGGAGGCCCTACCATCAGCATTAAGAATTATACAACATTTGTAGGTTCCATCACTATCTGAAGACTTTTATTGTGTTTCCATGTTCCTAAAGAGTTGGTCTTTCCACAATTCAATTGGTGACCTGTGGTGGGGCCGGTGCTGGTAGAGAGGAGTCAATGTTGCTCGTCACAGGTGAGAAGAATCTGACACAATCTTACCATGATGTCATGCTTTGTTAACAGAAAATGGATGATCTTGCGGCCTGTTTGAGAGGGACCGGATCGGGATAGTACCCCAAACACTCAATATGTAATATGTATATGAAAATACCACAAAAGAATTCCAACATGCATAGTCCGTATATATTTGCAGGCCCATGGAGCATTTGGGTACTATTCTGACAATTCTTGCCACTTTTGGATTCGGGTCAAGGGGGCTCCCACAAACTCCCCAAAAATCTCAGTCTGACT